CTTGGTGATTGCTTCTGGAGCTGTGAACGAGTATCGTTTAAGTTTTACGAAAGAAGTGTCGCCTGGCAACTCAGAGGCGGTTGTCATTAAATATATATACGACCGGATTTTCCTAATCTAACTCTTCTAGAAGGTGTATGATTTAACCAACGTTTTGTTTTAGGAACGGGACCAGTTACATACAGGAGCCCTGGCCAAAAAGAAGAGTTTGTCACTGACATAGACAAGCTTCACCACCATGCAGGTGGAGACTGCCCAGAGCTGACATTCAAAGGAATTCTAGACGCGATGGCTGAAAGTCCAAATTATGGCTCACCGCTGTACGTCTTCACAGACGCCACTGCTAAGGACTATACGAAAGAAAATCTTGAAGAAGTACTTTCGGTTGCTGAAGAAAATGGCATAACTATAAACTTTTTTACCACTGGTCTGTGTGGCCGCTCTTCTTATGAGCCATTCGAAGAAATGGCAAAAGAAACGTGTGGTCAACTGTTGAAACTTCCGAATGCTAAAGAGCTGAGGAAGCTGTCTGGTGTAACTGCTGGGGCACTGGCAGGAGCAACATGTCTGGAAAAATGGGAAAACTGGAAGTACAAGCGGAAAGAAGAAGAGGAGTCTGTCAAGATACACATACACAATTCCTATTGATGATTCCACAGAGAAAATTATTATTTCAGTGACAACCGAAAGAATGAACCCAACAATCACTCTTAAAGATCCGAGGGGAAATTCTGTGACCTCAGGGAAGATCTATTTGTCCAGGGGAGCTATATACGAAATCAACCACCCCCCGCCAGGAACTTGGAAACTGACAGTTTCAAGGGCCGGCAAACACTCGTACCAGGTCAAGGGCTCAAGTAAAACTAATATTGACTTCGAGCACTTCTTTGTCATGATTCCAAGCCGTGGACGAACCAAGAGGCCGATACCTATATCTCATCCTTTACTTGGTAAGTTTAGTTCGACTAGATAATTAACAATTCGTGAAACAAACACTAGTCCTGCCTAAATTTCTGGAAAAAAATAAACACACACACACATAATTATTTCGCTGCTGTTATAAGCTGTTATATATCTATTAAATTGTGTATCCAGAACTGCTATGTAATGACGCAATTGGCATTTATCGAGGAAATCAACACGTTGAACCTAGTTGGTGTACTCCGTGTTTCAACTTTATAAAGTACCATTGTAAGTGCAAGAAGACCACAAATAGATAAGGGTAGGGAAGATGTGGGTTTGGAAGTAGGGATCAAATTCTGCTCATACAAGCATCTGTAAAATTGTCAGACTTTACACTCCATTCCGTGAAAACAATATTTCTAGTAAACAATGTAATACATGTAAGTATTCAAACGAAGCAAACTTACCTTGACAAGAAAATTTTCCAAAGCAAACAGTAACAAACTGGCGCGTCGTTGTTCTTCTCAGGCAAACAAGCCCTGGCCATCATAACTGTAGCTGGCGCAAAAATGATCAACAGCAAAACCCTTAAACTTGACTTGATTAGCAAGGATGGTAGACTTCTCCGAACAACCAATATCAGCCCCCGTGGAACAAGCGGCGCTCATTTCTCAGCGTCTTTTACCCCTCCCCCTGCGCCATTTTCGCTAAAATTGAGGGGTAAAACAAAGAAGGGTTACAGCTTTCAACGAAACTCGCGGAACCTGGTCCATCCCAGCCACGCCCTTATCCGAGTCCTTTATGCCAGGAATGAGTTCACTGTCCCAAAAGGAGGGAAAGGCTTTGTTGTGTTTGTGGTCTACAACACTGGAAATACCGAACGGTTTGACATCAAGGTCAAAGATCGCCTAAAATATGTTGCCCGTCTTCGCCGCACCTCCATCACGGTTCGCAAAGGCCGAAAAAGTTTCTTTTCAGTCTCCTTCAAAGCACCATACTCAGCTGCGCGAGGGAGCAGCAATGAAGTGCTGGCGACTGTTACAGGCCAAACCTCCAAGAAGACCGTCGGTCACGTAGTAAGGCTGATGGTTGTATAACGTGCACTACAGGAGTGCAGGCCGGTTAAGGGCCTTTCCAGTTCTTTAAACTGTTGATTTAGTGTGAGATCTCTGATTTGATTTTCTTTTTTTGAATTAGTGTTTCGCTTTGCTTCGGTGATGGGATAAAAGCTTTTTCATAATGCGTTGCTAAGAACACTTAAGAACCAATTGGTACAGATGCTAGGACTTGATTTGAATCAGGGTAATTCTCAGGGCCTGATCGGATCCTGTTTAAATCAAATGACAGATTTTCGTTCGTAGGGTCGCATTGAAAGTCGGTCTTAAACATCGAAGTCAAGATGCAGGCTAGCTTCTTGTTTGAGAAAAGTATCACTGGGACAGTGTTTCACAACGACTCGAACGACAAATCGATTTTTTTTAAGGGAAAATAAAGATACTCAGCTCGTGATTAAAAGTGTCGCCTAAATACGCAGATGTAAGGCTAAGGGTCATTGCTTTTTGCTGTGTAGGTTTTTTGGTTGTTTTTCCATCGATTATCAGTTTTAGAACGTGAATAAAATCTATAAAGCATGAATTGTTGTCTGAAGTATTAATTTAGGTAACTGGGAGTAATTTTACTATACCTTGTAGGATCTTAGCCTCCGAAAAAAAGGTTGTGTTATATTTTCCTTTCAATACTCTGCTGCTCTTTTTATATGCAGTTTGCTTTCGTACCATAACTGTTAGTGGGACACAGGTTTCGTTCGCGGGTGATACTTTCAAAACTTTGAGTGGAGTGTTTCGTTGGTGTACCTCTTTGTGAGCTGAAGCCGGTACTTCAAACTCTATTTACAACTAACATTTAACGATTTGACTAAGAAAGAAACGAAAACAAAAGATTTTAAATAACTAAGTTGCACGGAAAGAAAACATGAAAGATTGCAGCAAAGCAAAGCTAAGAAAACTTAAAGATATTTCACCGCGGCTGAAACGTAGGTGAATCACACAAATACAGTAGTTTAAAACAGACCGATGACCTAACGAGCTTTAAGGGCCTGTTAGGCTGAACCCCAGGTAGGTGAAGTAACCCGCTTAGGTGGGGTAACCCACCTGTTCAGATAGTCTCTCATTTTTATTTGACCACGTTTAAATGATAGGTCATGGTGACCATGGACAAGTCTTGACTCGTTCCTTAAGAACGGTTAGCTTCTATATGTATAAATGTATGCGCGAGGGAACAAAATCTAATCGCTAAGCAAGGTTCACCGCTACAATGAATCATAGCGCGCCACATGATAATGAGAATTCACTTGATTTTTAACCACGCATGCGCCTACACCATCTCAGACCATGAAACAAAGGCATCATTTGCTCCCTCATGTCAGACTTAGAAACCAAAACTGGACCTCTATAAAACACTTGGGAGGTGAAAAATTGGAACCCCAACATCCCAGAACCATACAGACATATTCGTAGGGTGTTTTTAAAGTATTAACCCGCTAGGTGGTAAAGGTAGGGGTATCGACCCGATCTTGAAACTGTTTTGTGGAATAAAGAGACTTAAATCAGAACAATCATTAGTCCAGTTTAGAAATAAAGTTTTTATTAGTTATACTACATAAAATGCAGAAAAATTATTCTTTTTTAGAAAAGTTATATCGTATTTTTCAAGGATAAAATATTACAGAACTGATCACTATGAGTTTTAGAGCGCTGAGCAATTTATTTCGATCCTTTTTATTATATTTAGGATCACTGGAATTAATAATTTACATCATGTTCTTATAAGACCCTTGCAAGAGGAGACGACGCAAGTTCCTGGAAGGAAAATGGATCATACGTCATTTGTGATTTGCAATGTCTGATTCTAGTCCGTTGATCAAGTCCCCAACATACATTTCGACGAATTCAATTTGAGCTATGACTCTTCAGTCTGTTTATGAAATAACTGAAGCCGTTCAGGAAAACTAACAAAAGCTTATCTTTTAAAACCCTGAAACATTAAAAGTACTAACGGTGTACCAGTGTTTCGTAAGAGGTTTCGTTTGACTAGCCTGAGAAAACACCCGACATTTCGCGACGTCACCACTGGTTTCCCCGCGAAATGACGTCTGAGGAACGAGCGCAGAAATTCCATACTGATGACGTGTCACTACCCAGATCGGACAGACTGCTTGATTGGTCGTGCTGCAAGAAACAATTGCCTCAACCAATCAGAAACACTGCCCAGATCTGGGTATTAACGCGTAATCAGTATGGACTATTTTCTGCGCTCGTACCTCAGACGTCATTTGATGGGAAAACCAGTGTTGTCATTGCAAATTATCGGCTGTTTTTTCAGGCTGGCGTTTGATATGTTATCAACTTTTTACAGGCTGAAAAGTCAGAACTATCGGTTCTCCACTGACTTACAAAGGGGAGAGAAACTTAATTTTTCATTATTAATATTTACATTTGGTTGGGCGAGATATAACGCCTACTGTCCTCGAAATTTCTTAATTCTTTCTCAAGTTCCATGTCATATTCTTTGAATTCATTTATGCTCATGTCAAGCATTTTCCCAGGCTCCTTTCTTGCCAGCGCCTACAGACACAAGATGAAGTGAACCGATTAATATAATTCAAAGTCGACAAAATAAAAAAAACGAACTGATAAATGGAGACGGCGGAAGGGGAAAAAGCGGAAGAAAGAAAGAATGAGGAAGAGAGAAGAGGACAAATTCGTACCTTCCTCTCTCCTTCTTCCCAACCTTTCTCTGCGTTTTCCTGCTCAATTTTCTTGGCGTCTTCCAAGCACATCATCTGAAGGGATCTTGGGCGGACGGGTACTCCTTCCGTATACCGTCCATTGACAAATGGTTTCCCTTTTTTCTGCATAGTGTAGAAATCAGGACATTTTCACTACTTTTTCAAAGCCTCAAAATTCTTCTGTTGGCCCTTTTGGGTCTCTCTATATCATTCTGAAATGGCAGTTTTCCTAACCCGCCTTTTGTGTACTGTTGTACTTCAAATAGTGAAATCTATGCCCCTTCTTATGTATACCTTAATCCTGTAAAAGGTAACCCTATCGGGAGGAGCGAGCTTCCTCGTGTAAACTGTTATAGAAGATACTTCCTCATGAAGGGAGCAAGCTATACGTGGTCGATCGAGTTTTCTTTATGCTTGGTGAACGGAATTCCGAAAATAAATATCGAACAGACGTACCAGCAACTGCCTACTTTCTGCTTCATTTAGCGACTCGTCTCCATGGGTACAACCGTACCCTGCGTGACAGCGTTGTCCTCTTTTAACCTGTCCAGTTTGTTCCAGTCGTCTCTTATTCTATCACAAAAGATTGGTGTTAAGACAAAAATTTGACATTTTGAACGGGAATGAAAGTTTTAATCATGTTTTTCCGAACCTTAAGCCTCGTTTCCCCCCCGGGGGGGGGGGGGAGGGGTACTCCTGGGAATTTTTGGTGGGGGTGTGCCGCCTGGTTCTTCAAATCCTGACCTTGTCTCAGACCAAAAAATTTCATTTTCCACACCCGTTTTCAGACCTGGCCTTTAGGCAGAAATTATGTCATTATTACTAAGATTAGAGCGCAAACAAAACAGTTTTAGAAATCTATTTAGAATTCGCATATTATATTTCTCTTTCTTTCTTAGACTCTTCTTACTCATTTTGAATTGAAACGATAAATACGTTCATACACTCCCGTAGTTCCCTCGAAAGCCATACCCGATTCCTGACCAAAATGGCCAAAATCTCATACCCGTAAGACCACGTGACTAAGAAACGACGGGCTCTGGGGACGAGAATCGGAACAAATACGGAATGGACGGATGTCTTCGGTCCATCGAGAAACCACTGACCAAAGGCAGTACGAGCCTTGACCGGTGCCGACAAGTCAGCTTTTGAATGACGCATTTCTCGATATTTCACTGCACATCTCAGGGGCACCCAACGGCAATTTTCGGGAAAATATCTGTTCGGAAGACGATTTGAGATCTAGAATTTTCGGGGCATTTGTTGTAAAATTTCTTGCTTGCCTGCCTCTCCTAGGATTTTCGAACATCTACAAAATGGTATAATTACTCATTTTTAACGGATTTTGACCCTAAAAAAGGCCACCTAGAATTTTCGGGAGCCTTTTCCTGGCTGAAATTTTCGAGAAGGTAAGTTTTTATCCCTACAATTTTCGGATCACTAGATTTTCAGCTAGGAAATCCGAACAGATGGAGAGTTTTTAGGGGATAAAAATATGCCTATATCTACCGTTTGAATACTAAAATACGTTCAACAATGCTATGTTAAGTGGTTTTGAACTATATCCTCGTTGGGTGCCCCTGACATCTGAGGCATTTTGCGCCGAGATGTTACTCTTCGAAAATACTTGTTTAGGAAAGAAACGACTATAGCCATCTGAAAACATTTCAACAGCATTTTCAATTTTACAGAATCTATATAAAGTGTCTACAGTCAACTTGGGCACACGTTCATTTGCAGTGATCTTTATCCAGCTTCAAAACGTGGTGTTGAGTATTGAAGAGAACCAAGGCCAACCTTGATGGAATGGAGCTAAATGGCAGCAATAATTCCAGGTAACGTATAAGAGAAGAAATAGACCGTGAACTGAGGCACAAATACAATGCTTGGAATCTGACTTGGGTTGACAAAGTATAGTGATTTGTGTGACATTTTGTATTGCCCACCCAAGTCATTTTGCGAATGCTTTGTTTTGGCTACCATATTACCATATTTTCTCTACCATATTACAAACTTCTTATGTTTATAACTGTGTAGTTCCAAAAAATATCTATGCCCCACCCTACTAATATGGAGGGCACTTTCGCCTAAGCCCCCCTCTACCCCCTAGAATTTCCATCGCAGGGGGTGCTTGTTGCATCACCAACCCCCTGGAATTTCTGTAATTTTTCCAACCTGGCTGGGTACCCCCTGGAAAGAACATTTCTATAAAAAATTGCTGTTGCACCACATTTTATGTGAAAGCCAATCGTTGGCTGTTTTGAAAAGTTCACTGGTCTTCCCTGGGATGCCACAATAATTTACGTGTAGATTTAAAAGCGTTACACATTTCTGGACAAACATGTAAGTGCGGAGGGGGGAAGGTACTGCTAAAATGTTTTGGAAGTGGTGTGCTACTGGGATCCTGGACCCCTTGCCTTAGCCTTCACCAGACCATCTTCAACTACTATATTATTTTTCTGCTTATTCTAGAGTAGGTAACAAAAAACCCTACCCTGTCACAGACTAAGGGCGTGTTTACATGGAGGCATGGGACCCCAGATAGGAGAGGTAACCTGCCTGTCCATTATAATCTCTCATTTTAATTTCATCATGTTTACATAGTAGGTGGAGAGATCTGCCCAAGTGGGTTGCCTTGTCTGCTAGACCAGGTAAAGTCCATCTCAGCCGGGTCAAATTTTGCCATAGTAAATGTTTCAAGGTACCGGGGTCAGATTCATGTTGCATCATTTAAAGTGAAAGCCACACCACTGAAAGGATTACAGCAAGAGCAGCAAGTGTTGTTTGCCTACCATTTTTGTATAGTGTAGTTACATGATTGATGACCATTGAATGATCTTGAGGAAATGCACTCTGAGATGGCAGGATTGTAAGTGTGCATGTAAATGCTGGTTATTTTCTTACCCCACCCCACCTCCATGAAAACAGGCCCTGAGTATCAACACAAAATCTCCAGCTCTTCATACAACTGATCAGTTTCCCATAAAGTGTTCTTATTCCAGACCATAATTTGTTTTCTTTCTTTACCCTTTATCCCTGACTGCAGAGCTTGAAAACTCAACCCTTCACAACAAAAAATTTCTGAATAGCCCATAAATGGCAATGCCCCTCACCCCCCAACCCCCAACCTCCTGGGAAATAAGGGGTTGGTGTCAGTTAACCGTGCTATGATCTGGCATGCCCTTTTTAAACCTATGAGCACCAGAAATGGAATGTCACTGTGTTGCAAGGAAAAAGTCAATTGAGTAGTTTGCGATTTTGCTACTTGCACACACGTGACCTGATCTTTGTAGTTATTGGTTATAACACAATAGACATTCCTGAAATATTTCAGGTGTTCACAGTTTGAAGTAAGATTTGGTTTTACATTGCTCAATAAATGGAAACTTTATGGGAATACCCAGAGGGGGGAGGGAGTACTCGAAAACATGTTATACAGAGCAGAATAACCCCTTATCCTTCTATATGTAATTTTTGACAGAAATGGTACCCTTTTGGTATAAGTTTTATTTGCAAATGGCACCCCTTTTACATACTAATTTAGAACCTTTCATGCTGATGTTCTTCAGCTAGCGAAATCCTTTCCAGCTTTCATATACCTAAAGCCTGAAAAATGCAGTTGTGTAGGAGCTGCTCAGAAGGTCTCTCCTGGTTGTTCGCAGAAAACAATGACAAGTCATTCTTTCAATTGTTTCAGTTTTTGTTTGGAGTCAGGGTTAGGCACCATTGCTGACTTCTCTTCCAAGCAGCTGCCACATGACCCAAAAAAGGGAACCCTTTTGGATGGAGCCTCCCTGTGTAGGCCATTATAGCGAGTACCCCCACTTCCCCCCCAAGGATGATTACATAGTTATGTTCCCTGATGCAGCTATATAAGTATGCTGAGGTTTTTTTTAGGCAGGTTGTTACTCACCATATCAAGTAGTATGTCTCGCAGAAGATCTTTTCTCATTTGCTGATCACTAATGGACTGATACTTTGGAACAAATACAAATTTTGTATTTCTGCTCCATTCATCTTGGCTAGTTCTTTCATCATCTGGAAACAACTAAAAAGGGAAAGAAAAAAAGTTAGCAACACAGTAGAATATTTGTGGTTTAGTTTTATTCTTAGTTTGAATTTTATTCTCTTTTGCACTAATTCAGGCATGGTAATGCTCGGGCAGATATAAGGGGTTCGAAACGTAAACTCCAATGCCTTCTCTCCCCACAATGCCCCCTCATTTCCCCTTTTTCTGCTGAAAAAAAAGGTATATCCCTTGCGGGTACTCCTAGAAATTCTTGGTGGGGTTGTGCCACCCTGTGGTGAATTTGATAAAACTATTACAAGTGTAATTGACAAGTGTAGCCATTGTTTTAGAGTCTGAAAACAACAGCTACACTTGTAAATTACACTTGTAAATGTTTTATTAAATTGACCACGGTTTTCCAAATCGTGACCCTATTTCAGACAAAAAAAATCTTATTTTTCACACCCGCTTTCAGACCTGGCCTCCTAGAAGTTATGTCATTGTTGCTTTAATTAGGAAGCCAACAAAACGATTTCTTAAAATTAATCTTTTTCTCTTATCCATTTGGAATTAAAACAATGATATGTTCATACACTTCCACAGTTCCCTTGAATACCATACCCAATTCCAGACCAAAATGAACAAAGTCTATGCCCATTTTCCGACCGAAACGGCACCAAACTCCAAACCCGTTGAGGCGGCACATACCTGTAAAGCTTATACATGTATGAGAGAGTGGTAAATTTGTTCTCCTTGTGTTTACCTTGCTGTAGAGGCGTTCCCCGGATTCTCCTGGTTTTCTGTACGTCAAAGGAACTGCTTTACACAACATTGAGCAAATACTTACAAGAAGAAGAACTCGAAGGGAGATGAGAGCCATCACCGTGGTAAGGAAAAATCAGTTTCTTTTTTTGACTGAAACAAAAGGAAAAATTAATGAAAAAAGTTGTGGAATTCATCATGATTGTGTCCTGTTTATCAATTTCACCACGATTTTTAATTGTGTGCATTTTTTGGATCAGAGAAGTAACGTCATAAAATATTTAACAGTCAGTTGGACTGGCGAAAGGTTCCACTGCACAAATTTTGCTTCCTTTGAACTTTGATTTTTCGGGGCTGAATATTGACGGAATAGTCATCCGCTCATGCGCTTTACGAACTGCGTGTATCGTCAGTGATGGCATACTTTGTGTAGTAATAACATGTATATGAATCAAAAAAGATACCAGTGTTGGGCCCTTTGTTGGGAAGGCCTTGTGAGCATGGTGCCCCGGAGGGTACTCCCTAAAATGGCCTATACGGGGAGGTTCCACCCAAAAGGGGTACCTTTTTCAGTCTTCAGGTATATGAAAGGTAAGGGATTTCACTTGTTGAAGGATATAAAAGGGTAGGGAAATCTGTCATTTGGGTCCGTGAAAGGGCCCAAAAGGGCTAACAGATGAGCTTGATGGCTTTATAAAGTCGAGAAACGTTCGATTTTTGTGATTGACTCCTATCAGTGAAAGACAGTGCATTTACAGCAGTTAAAAGGGACGCAAAGTTCTAAACAAGGTATGTGAAAGGGGTATACCTTTTTTGTGAAAAATGGTATAGAAAAGGTTAAGGGGTTGGACTTCAGAGCGGAGCCTTCACGTATAAACATTTGTTGAGTACCCCCCGGGCATGGCGCAGTTTCACCTGACTTCAGGAGCCCGTTCTTGAAATACCTTGGTTGAAATTAACCTTGTCCCTTCGAGGTTTCCGTCGCTCCATCGCGAACTATCAGGAATTAGGTTACAAAAGAAATAATAACCTCTAGCACACGGGGTAGACACATTTATTCCTGATAAAACTGATTCCGACAGTTTGACAGTTATATCTCAGTATAGCGATATTGGCGAACGGATAAGTGTTACATGCATAACATAGTCATTTATTGTTGACTGAATGTCTTACATTCCACTGCAAGTCGGAATGGTAACATACAGATGATAAACTTGAAACTTGAAGTCGGTTAACCACTAGCAGAAGACGCACGTTTGAACTCTTAAAAGGTTGTTCCTTGTGTCCAATAGGTGCAGTTAGTTTTGTCAGAGAGTTGAGCAGCATCTTAGTTTGTTGCGCTTTCTAGTTCAGTCTGTTTTTGCCTTGTTTTTATTTTGTTCTTTACATAAGGAAGCTAAGAAAAGGTTTTGGACCGCGGAATGCGACGGTCTGACAAGAGATGTCAGGAAGAGAATAGAACGTCATGTTTAGTAGCTATCAAAGATTGCACACAAGATAACTTTTTTCTTCAAATCATTCGCCTTTTGGAAATTGTATCAATGTTGTATCTCAATAGTCCACGTTCGATGTATTAAAATTAATATATTAAAATTCTAACATGACTTTCTGGTCATTTTTCTATATTTGGTCTGGTTTTCTTTGTGCTCAAGTCTCTTTTGGGAATTGCGAGACAATGGAGGCGTTTGTCCGCAAAGCCTCGGAGTCATGTTAGAATTACCGTATTTATTCGATTAAACGCGCGGCGATTATTAAATTTTTAGCGTTTCCAATGCGGCGTTTATTCGAGGGCGGCGCTTATTTCGAAATCATTTTTTTAAATCACTGACAACAGTGATTGGATATCGTCTGTAAAGATTATGTAATTTTAAGGTTCCAATGTCTCCCTTCAATTTTGCTGAGATAGAATAGTGAATGTCTGAATTACCAAGTTGTAGCGAGGTTTTTTCTTATTATCCTTGAGTAAACGTCGCATTCCTCTGAGAAGGTGTGGCGTTTATTGGTAATTTTGCGTCCATCTGCGGCGTTTGATCGAGAGTGGCGTTTAATCGATTAAATACGGTATACATCGAAAGTAGGCCCATTACACAGGCACAGGAAATGATTTCCCGCGGAATTCCATACTATTGCCTTTTTAAATATATAGAGTTTATGAGCCAGTTTTATAAAAGGTTTATAATAGGTGATTTTTAACTTAAAACATACTTAATATGTAAAACAAAACACTACACGTTGCCGAAACCCTTTCTTGTTGAAGCGATGCCTACTAGCTTTTTCGTGAATGGTCGCTGTCGCCTTCAAAGTGTATCGACATGTATTTTTATTAGGAACATCTTGATGAGCTTAAACAGAAATGAATCTGGGCGTAGATAAACTCGAAAAAAATGAAGTCTTCACACTCAATGTGAGTTTAAAATGTGAAAAGGTTAATTCAAAAAATAAGAATTGCGCTATTTTTAACTGTGAGTATTTTTTGTTTTTTTAACCACTGCTTGGGATTTATTTCCACGAAACTGAGATAATTTTCCCGTGCACATTGAATTTCTCATCGTGCACCTTTTTGTAATTAACATAGTTTCATCATCATTAGTATACAAAGTAAAACCGGATTTTAAGTAATACTTCATAGCTCTGCGGAACACAGTTTTGCATAGGTGGCGTCGATGCTTTGCTTCAAGGATTTACAGGAAAGCTGCGTTTTTATATCGTTTTTCATTAAACATTGTTTGCGAAAATACTTAGAAAATGTGAAGTGAAGTTTTAGTTACTTTGTACAAAAGAGAAAATTGTCTCGCAATATGCGCACCGTCACCATGCTATCATAGACACGTGTCTTTCAATTCATGGAAAATCTCTTAAAGTAGGAGGTCGTTACCGTTTTCAATTATTCTTGGTTTGTATAATATTCGTATTACAAAAGACAAAATGTTTTTTACGTTTTCCTACCTAAAGCAGTGGGCTTGTTCTGCCTGTACCCCAACGCAAGTTTGTTCAAGAGTCCTCTCGCTGATGAGCGTTGTATGTCCTTCAAGGGCGACGCTTAACTGTTTAAATACTTCGAAGTATCCCTGGCCCTATCACTGCCTGAAAGTCGCACATTTCCTGTCGCGTTTTTATTAAAGAGTTATGTCACTCAGAGATAACAAAACTTAGATGTTTTGGATGCCGACTGTTTCCCATTTGTGTGTTGACGCAATCACAGATCCTGTACCGTTTCTACTTAAAACTTCCAGAAGCTTGAAGTGCTATCGTGTCATGATGAGCTACAACAACTTTAAAATGCATGTTATCTGTGGTCTTTTCTTAAATTCCTCGCACAATTTACCACTTGTTATCGTCTGAAATATTTCAGCACCTTGCCCTGACGTTCATCTCTTCTCATGTACTTTCACCAACCTTATCTCTTAGAGTCACGCCCAACTTCAAACTTTAGCTTGTGATATGCAGTCTACTGATTTTTTTTTTAAATATAAAAAAAAAACAATTTTAAAATAGTAAAAGATCTCCTATAAATGTAATTAAGCAAGTAGGATATTACAAATGACTTTGTTTCTCTCCTAAACTTTGGGTTTTCTTTTGGAAACCTCGTTGTCACAAATTCGTGAGCGGATGAGAGGGAAAGTTTTGGGCATTCTAAAAATATCAATAAATACTTTACCCCATGCTGCCGATCTTGTTCAATTGTTCAATGTACAGCTATTTTTGGGCCCCGCCGTGAGGTTGAATAGTCCCATACAACGAATAAAGCTATGCAGGCTTTGTTTAGGTTACTGATGGTCGCTAAAGTTTTCTATTGTAGAGTGCATCGATTTTTGTCGTAACCGCTTCGCTGCAGTTAATGTAAACATCTATGAGAGCAGAAATGCACAAATTCCTGTATTACAGGAAGGATTAGATAAATATCTTTCTTATTTGACTGGTTAACTAAGAAAAGAGCAGTGACTGAGGCAAATTTTTAATTAGGAAATAGTTAGTTTCGGACTTATCATAAATGTTTTTTTTTCTATCATTCCAGCTCGCTTCCCACTGCGTGCGTGTGCCTGTCCCAGCTAGTATTTATATTTTATCCAGATCTGTCATGCAGATGATGTCTGCCCGGTTCTCCAAATCCTGACCCCATTTCAGACCAAAAAATGTCATTTTCAACACCCGTTTTCAGACGTAAGGAAGGTCACAAAATGCAACATACATGTTTACATAGACAGAAGTTATGTCATCATTATTGAGATTAGAGGGCCAACAAAATTATTTCTTAAAATTCATTGCCATTCGCATGTGTACTCTTTCCTTTTTATTTATTTGGAATTGAAACACTACACTACCGCAGTTCCCCAATTCCAGACCAAAATGGGCAAAAACTATACCCTTTGGGGCGGCACATGCCTATGTGGCTTATATAAGGGAGTAACCCCCCCGGCAATACTGGCTTTCTGACGAATTCGTGTCATCGTTTGACCTTCTTTGAAAGTTGGCGTAATTAGCTCATTAGGATAGATCATTTCCTCTATGGAGATATGTCGCAGTTTCTCGTAGTTGTCTTTTTTCAGCTTAATGCATTACAACTAAAGTAATTTTCATTACATCACCGCGAAGATCACGTTTAATTTAAAAATGGGTTGCCTTTGTTAGTGTAAAAATTAGCTGGCTTTTGCATCTTTAACCGTTTCTGGAGAGTCAGCATCGGCACCATGCCGTCGAATTATTTTATCTTCAGACTAAGGGCTATATTTGGTATGAAGAGGACCACGTTTTTGATCAGAATCAGTCAGGGGAATATTTCGAATTCATGTGGCTTGTGACATGCAAAGGAAGTATTATCACAGGTTCACCTTAGAAAAAATCAATTGCAGTGAGGTGCAAGACAAGTTACGTCGAATTACCAGGTAGCTCCGAAACGACGGTCGTGCCGCCTCTCACCAACATGAGTACGCACAGTTAACTTCAAGGAAACACATTTCCAGGGTAAATCAAAATGTTACTTATTCAAAAACGGCCCTAAGAATAAGAAATTAATGAAGAAAAAAAATTTTTGCGTTTTGGTTAAGGCGGGAGGAGGTAGGCGTCTTTGATCCCCTTCACATTTCAAAGATCGGACAATGCAAGACAAAACTTCTGAGGCCAGCTATAATAAAGCGAATATATTAAATTCTCTTTTTCCCACAAGTTGCTGCTGAAGTCTCATCAATAATCTTGAGTGCTTGAGAAGAAAAGACGATTAGTAATTGTTGCAAATTAACCCGTCCGCGTTGTAAATAATCTGTTTTCTTATCACGTACGTTATCACTCAATTTAAAAGACGATAAGATTCTCGGTTCCCGCTAATAGTCACAACAGACGTAAACATGGGTGTGGAGAATGTTTTAAATTGTTTATAAGTGGGTTGAAATCTCCTTAATTCCCTTAATGGTATTTATCATTGTTTCCTGTTCGAAGTATTTCAGTAATCTTTCTTGTTAATCTTGATAAAGGACATCCTTGATAGTTTAACAATCCCTGAACAATGCTTTAGTCAAGATGACAATTTGGAAAAAGTAATCAGAATTTTTAGAAAAAGATCAGCGTTATGGAGTGCTTGGTCTTTCGTTTAAACTATTGTAACTTTTCATCCATAGATCATACAGAAAAGGAAAGATTCTTTGAACATGTTTGAAAAGCAAAATAAAGTGCAAGACAGGAAATACTGCTCATTCGCTTCTCAAAGCTTTAATTTGTTGCACTTCAAAATCTCATCCATCTACTTACTAGAAGTGTTCCTCAAAACGCCTCCATAATGGCTGTCAGGAAGCAAAGAATAATACACACCTTATAGAAGGTAAACCAGCTTTGTTTTGTACCCTTTCAAAATACAGGCTTTTGTCAGGCCTTGTTTTGTTTACTTCCGCTTACTGCGTTTTAAAAAATTGATTCTAATGACCAACAGAGTTTGGGGTCGCTGCATTTTTAAATGAGTTGCAACCCTGTACTGTACGCAAGCTACAACTCCAATAAAAAAAGTTGCTAAAACTGCGTTTCCCAGTTTTATTTGCACTTGATCTTAACTGAAGTAAAGACCGTGACAGCGATCACAAAATCAGTGCTCTTCGAGAACAGGGGACACTGAATACCGTAGATTCCTTGGCTAAACCTTTTGTCGTTGTGCGTGCGGCTCATAACGCTAACCAAAAGGGTTAGGTCACGCAATTTTAGCAATCGCTCGTTAAAAAGGAAGGAATGGTTTACGTAGGGTAGAGTATAGTACATTGAGATTACAAGCTGTACAAAATTCAGTGAAATTAGAAAGGGAAATGAGGAAATACTAATATATTCTGTTAAAGAGACTAAAATGTAAGGAGGCTTTCGCGCTTAGGCGAGAGAGAACTTTTCCCACACTTCTAAACTCTGCAGCATTACTTAATAATTTATAGGTTAACAGCAGTAAGAAAGTCAAGCAATCATTTGTCAGATTTGTGGAAACACAGTGGAGTCTGAGAGCTCGTTGCAATTCCTGGTACATAATCTGGGGTGCGTTTCTTTAAAAGCCGCTTGCGTGCCAAAAATAAATATCCCGGAAATCTTTGTTGAATTTCACCTTCCATAGTTACCATAGTTCTGATTTTTTTTTGTCTGGAAATATGCTCTGCTAAGCGTGAACTTAACCCACGTTTAATATAGTAAACGTGATTTCCTACCTCTTGAATTAGGATTTCGTGATAATTAGAACCTGTCTTTGTTTAGAATTTAAGGAAACTACATTTAGTGTTCTTACTGGATTACTGGAAAGCCGCTAGTGCCATTCGACTCGGGAAACATGTTGTTGCTCTGTGAGCAGCTGCGATTTCAGAACTGTGGTCTTACTAAAGCATCAGTTCGTTGACAAACTTGTGATAACAACACCATTAGTCTGGGTGTGGCGAAGATTCGATTAAAACGTGTAACACTAAATAGTAACTTCTTTACAATTCAGTGAAAAGTTTAAACCACAGAGTATAGTGTACAGTTTTGTCTACTGGAGCCTGACAAGGTGAAACTCAAATCCTGTTTCTCGGATTTCCTAATTTAGACATTTAACGCTATGAAAGCAATACAGCCAAGTTTTATCTGTACTGGAAGAATTCGTTAGAAAATACTGAAAGATCAATCTACTCAAAAAAAATGCCCCGGTTTTCACTCATCAAGGTTGTACGTTAATTCTATTATTATAATTTCAGTGTGTTGAAACAAAAAGATTTGATTCTGGGAAGTATTTTTACTGGCATCTTGAACACAATAAACCCTTTGACTTCCTGTAGTGATTGAAGTAAAACTTCCTTTTTGTAAAAGCAACCTGAACAAACAATAAATAATGAAATTGTAACTGGTGCGAAGAGGTCTCATTTGAATGGTCTGTCACTTCATGGGAATTGGTAAACGGACTCCGCAGAAGTTATAACCACCTTGTGCATTATCGTAAACAGCGCCACAAGACTAGCTTTTATTACAATGGTTTACCCTTTAAAACTTTATCCACCGAACGAAGTCCCGAACCAAGTGAACGATCACGATCCTAAGTCGACAGACTAGGCAGGAAGAACGTTCTACTGTATAATATTTTCATAATTGACTTTGGGTGTGAAAGAGTCAGAAAATCAGGTCTATATAAATTAATTACAAATAAATCGTGCGAAAGGTCATCCTTAAATGAATTTTAATTGTTGTCTGCGTAGTTAAAGGAAGGTTAGAAAATAATTTCCTGTGGATAGATAGATGTTGACCACGGAATTACAAGAATATATAAATATTTCCTGAGTGTGTGTTAGCTAGACACTCACAAAATGGCATGAATTATTCAAGGTGTGATATAACAATCTCATTATACTTACATTTAAAAAGACTTTTCTGTCGCTGTGAAAACCAGAGTCATTTTGAAACTATAGCAAGGTCGTTTCTCTAGCCACCTTGAGTCTGTCTGTGTCTTTGACCTTCTGCGGTCGTTGTATCCTAATATCATACAGTCTCAAAAAGATGGATGACGTTCTACTGTTGTATGGCAGCTTTCGTCAATCTTAAACTGATTACATTCC